CTCATCATGTTGTGCTTCCAAGGTTTCTTCTTGTGTGGAGTGTGATTTCGTTGAAGAGGAGCCGACATACAGAAGCCGTCTTAACACTCCCGGGTGCCTACTTCATGAAACGAACTCAGGAGCAGGAAAAGTAAAATGTATTTTTGTATATTCTTATATTTCACCGCCATTTCTACTTTTATTTTTTTAAATATATTTTATACTGTTATTATTATTATTATTATTATTATTATTATTATTATTTGCGTATCTTCCATTTATGACCACGTACACATTATCTTTCCAGGCCCAGTCATATTTCTCCCGGAGAGATTAACGTGTCATTATGGGGATCAGTTTTTCGGCTGTATCTCATGGTAAGACAAGGTTGTTAAGTCTTGAATTAGGATGATGATGTGGGGTCAAGGGAGTACCACAAAATCACAAAACCGTCTGCGCCACGAAGTCCGGCATCTTATTATAATAAATATTGTGATTATTTTAATTTGGAGTTCATTTCTCTAAGGCATTGCATTGTATTTACAAAGACATTGTATTATTGCAGGTGTCAATGTATTCTGAAGAATTCTGAGGATATCTGACTTTGCTTGAAAGCGGAGGCGTTGCCTGTGATACATGTCAGGATGCACTTGTGAGGATGCATTAGTCAGCCAAGAGTTAAATGTGAGTTATACAGTAACCGTAAATCCGAGAATGAAGACTAAAAATCGTGTTGTCTGTCAAGATTTACTTTCACAAATGTAAAATGTTTCACGTAATGTTTGTATGTTATCGGTTCAATTTTTAAATAAAAACAATTATTGATTTATTTTGTTTTTTTATTGTTTGAAACACGAATAATCTTTAAAAAAACGAAACGAAGAACACTAAATACCAAGAGTTCCAAAATTATGTATATAATTAAATTGTAAATTAAAAACCCTGAAAGGCATATAATGCCGAACAGGCAGGAAATAAATTAAAAAAAAGAGTTCCAAAGAGTTCCAAACATACATGACCTAATCTCGAAATATTACGCGATTGCTCGCGTGAGAAGAAATATCTATGCCAGGACGTGCCGCATTAAACCACATCTTGTCAGAATGTTTATTACGCAGAACTGATAAAAATAGCAACGGTGCAGGCATTGCCAGAGCGTTATCCTCAAGTGCATTTAATGTCAATGCCAGTGAAGTAAATGCAGAATTGTTCTAAAATTATGAGTATCGGTGGGTTAAATGTTATCTGCTATCATTTAATGTTAACTAATGTTGACTTTTCCACGTTAGTTCGGGAACTTTTTCTGTTTATTTTTTAATAAAAACGATGATTTATAATATTTTTGTGTTATTGATCTTTCTCACGCTGAGTGAAATCTTTTAGAAATGGGCAGTCCAACCACAGCCGTGCAAACTGAATCGTGAAAATCATAGAAATATGCTTGCGTGGTGCAGCGTTAAGATTTAAAATTTTTATATCCACACTGCAATATGCATATTTTTAATTGCATATACAAGCGATCAATTTTGCATATACAAGCGATCGATCTTAAAAACTCAAATATTTGCCTTGTTCGCGAAAGATAATTTTGGCTGATTTACATGTAACATTCACAAGAAAAATGTAGGATGTAAGTTAGACGATTTTATGACAACATGGAATGGATGAAAATATCTACTCAAACTGGGAATCGAACCCACAATTCTCGGACTTGTGCAACAACACTTTGACACGGAGCTATTCATTCGTTGCCGCAGCTTTACTCTTATAACAACTCATTAACAGAATAGAAACTTGAAAGCAACATTGCGTATACAAACATTAATGTCATTTCATCTTGATGGTCAGGAATCACAGAATTCTTTTACGTCTATTCTAGCTCTACTGTTTAGCTCTCAAAGGACGTTAAAATATTTAATATGCTCTCCAATCAAATAAATTTATTCTTCATAGTTCAGTCGAGAGAACGTAGTTTTGAAACTCAACGTTAGATATCGCTGTCTGCAGGTAGGGCTGTCCGTTGTCAAAAACCTCTCGGGATTAAGGCATTTTCGACTTGAAATTTAATGTTTCCACGAGTGTACATTATGACAGCCAAACATCGCCCTCGGGGTCCATTCGAAGTAATCGTGCCAAATGCACCGCATACTATGTATTGCTTATGATAATACTCGTTTTATACCGAAATTGGCATTTAGTAAATTAAAATTAAGTATTCCGTCAATTTAACCATGCGTAAAGTGTCTCTCACGGGCGACCTGCAGATCCTGTCACAACTGCACTAGTGCCTTAACAACCGCGGCAATTGGGCTGGGTAATTTAATGTTTCGCCAGGTATAATACTTCGAATTAAATCATTGTATTGCAATGATTTGAACCATAAAGTGTCTCGACCAAAACTAATACACACCTTTACACACAAATTGCTCTCAGGGTTTTAAAGATTGAGCACATCTGGTTTCAGTGATAAAGAAGCGACCCATTCGAAGTACGACTCCTGCGCTCTTTATGGTTTTAAAATAGATAATAGAGAAATATAATCGCGGTAAATATACGTATAATCCAAAAAGTTTCAAATTTTATCATTCACACGCCTCAACGACATCACATGTTTACGGTCTTTTTCATAAAACGGAATCTGTTGCTTTATGTCACAATCACGGATATTATCGTTTTTATTTATTTAATGACATAACAGTTAAAAGAGTGTATATGGGTGACAATCGTATCCTGAAAAAGGATGCTCGAATACATTGCAAAATATTCCGAAACACGAGCGAATCGATTTGCTTTACCCGAACGTAAAACGGCACCAGCCACAACGACACACTCTCCCGGCGACTTGGGTTTCCTTTCCCTTCCGTATTACCGATTCTGGACTACTTTGCCAGAAATGCGTCATTATTTGATTTTTAAAACTAAAATATACCATCATGATAATTGCAAGTCTCCAATGAGCATTTCCTTCAGGATACATTTTGACATTTTTTATTAATACCTATTGCGTGTTCAACAATTTATTTAGAACGAACTGTTTAAAAAGCAGGGAATTGAATATTATTATTTTCTCGTATACGTACGTATATACTAGGTAATAGTGTAAGTAGGGTAGAGTGAGTTATGTAATGCTATGGAAAATCGATTTCGAAATCTTAAAGGAAATTCCCTTTTGGGGTCCCAGTGATACCCAAGTAATGATTTCTGTTGGATCGCGACGGAACAGCGTTCCGTTATCTCGGGAATAATTATTACAAGTACACTATAAATATATAGTTATTTCTATTGAATTAAAAAGTAATTTGAGGTGTGTTTCAATTCATACAATTTTATAAATCAAACACTGATTATTCCGAAAAACTTTTTCAAAAGTTCGTCCGTGTGCCCGGCTGACATCTGTCCGTCCGACTGCCCGTCCTTTCGTCTCCCCGTCCGTATGTTCATCCGTCCGCCCGTCCCTCCCTCTGTCCGTCCCTGACTCTTCACGTGTCTCTCCCTCTGTCTTTTACTCACCCTCCGTCTCTTCCTCTAGCCATTTGCCCTTCTGTCTGTTTGTCTGTCCGTCAGTCCGTCCGTCCGTCTGTCTGTCAATCAGTCGGTCCGTCTATCTGCCCGTCTAACTCTGTCCGTCCATCTGTTCTTCTGAGAACAGCACAAGAATCTAAACTATTCGTATTTTTTTTCCTAAATGAATATTCCCCGATTAATCTGGCCTAAATCAAATGATAAAAATAATACTTTCGATTTTGCTTTAGACAAAAAGTTCCTGGAACATGTTAACAGTTCTCAAAAATGGTTTCAATACACTTATCAAGACGGAACAGATTCAATTTTCTCTGCCAACATTAATTTTGCAAAAATTGCATTGCACGTGCAATTGCGTACGTGCAAACGTGCGTTGTACGTGCAATACGACCTACGAGCCCCTCCTTTTTACTTTTCCGTAAACGAACGTATATACGAAGAATATGAAAAGTTATGTAATGCTGCGAAAATTCGATATCGAGATTTCAACGGAAATACACGTTTTGGGGTCCCTGATACAGTTGTTTTTTTTCAAAACGACCTTTCGCCCGTCTGTCCGTCTGTCCGTGTATGAACAACACTAGCGCCTAAACCACATGTAGATTTTTTCCCAATTATATCCAGAGTGTGTAAGATAGGGGTGAGAATATGACAAGGATAGAAGGATCGCGCGCGGTCTGTGACTCGCAGTACTGTGTCGGCATTCACCTGGTGTTCGATGAAATCACGGAACTCTAACGATCAGAGCAACCTGCCGCTAGAATTCTCTTGCAGACAGCGGGTGATTTTGACCTAGCAATCTAAGAGCATAATTCTCTGTTCTAATCATATTTAATCATAATTTTTACAGGACGTTATACGGCTCTAGTGCAGACGATGGTAGGATTTTCAGCACTAGCTCAGCTAGGTCAAATTCAGTCGCTTCTTGGAGAATTCCAGCGGCTGGCTGCTCTGATCAGTAGTTTTCCGTGGTTTCTTGGAACAACAGGCAAATGCCGGAGCAGTACCGTAACAAACGGGCCACGGACTGCGCGTTATCTTTCTTTTCTCTTCCTTGTCCTATCCTCACCCCTTATTTACACACACTTACACTACTTACACACACATTTTCACAATCATACATGCCGGGAGACCGGTCGGGAGCTTGGAGCTTGTCCCGGCTGGGGTGGTGCCCCACTGGTGGGAAATACCTAGTTTGGGAAAACGCCGATAGCACACGGTAGGTTAGTGCCGGATCTCACCATTCAACTGAGGAAGACTACCGCCACCTTCCTAGAGAAGAATGCACTACACTTACAGGATTATTGATCTTAGTGTTGACGCGCAGGGGAACACAATCAATCAATGCGACTGACCCTGGGAGTGCATTTATACTGCGATGTATTTATGCTGCCTCTGACAGGTCATCAGCTGTTACGGAGTCATCCAATTGGGTCAGTGACATCACTATGCAGACGGTCAACCTTCCGCTTGGATGACACCGTAAGAGCTGATTTACGTCAGCGGCAGCTCTAAATAAATCCAAGAATATGCACTAATAAATGGTAGATGAGAAGAGAACCAGTTATCCGTAACTCGAGACAACAGAACTAAAACCGTACAACTAAAACCGTGGAAACTAAGTAGTACGAGAGAGGTTGTGCCAGTCTGCGACAGCACTATTCGAACTATACCCTCATAATTCAATTTTTCGTTAGGGATCACGATAAAGATTTTAAAAATATTCGTGAGAGACATTTACCAAAGCATATATCCAGGCGTTCTAGTTGTAGATTCTGATTACGGTTTGTCCCAATTATTAAGGAAAGTGACGCTTTTACAGCATTTCTGCATTTGGATGGCGTCGATCGCGTGAATAATTGGCAGGGAGATTCAAAAGTGAAAGGGCGCGGAGGAGGGAGGGGACTGCGCAGCGCAGGCCAGTCCATACTCACGTCCACTGTGACCCCGGGCAGCGGGAAGAGCTGGGCCGGCGGGTCGTCTCGGGGCACGTAGCGATAAAACTCGTTGCCGTCCTTGTACCACTTGACGGAGTAGAGCGCCTCGCCCTCCATGTCGAAGTTGCACTCGAGGCGCGCCTCCTGGTCGCGCACCGTGTGCTTCGGGATGCGCACCTCCACCAGCCGCAGCCCCACGCCGCCTGCAACAGCCGCGCCACACCCGCGTCACTTAGCACGCATATCAAAACACACTAAAACTCTGGGTGTGTGTGTGTGTGTGTGTCGGACGAGTGGAGAAAATGCATTCGAACGATTCGAGCGATTCGAACAAGCGGACCCACGTCAATAAGAGTTCAAAACTGCGTGTGTGTACGATGTGTGAGGGTGAAATGCAATATTTGTAACATTTGTTCATTTTATTCGAGCGCGTTTTAATAATATTTGTAGATTGAAATGACGCGTGGAATCTGCGTGCTTTTCGTGAGATAATACCTTCCCTAGTCCTTATAGTGTGTTAAGTTGAGTTAGAGTACAGGTAGCAATGAGCAAGATTTGATAAAAAGACACACATTCGTTCCGCAGCAGTGACGTCATGGTCGCTCTGCTAGGACCTCTCCGCCGCGCATTCCTCTCAAATCAAATAGTTTATTGCATATGTATTACTATCTATTTAGTTTGCTTGTTTACATTTTTGCTGGATTGCCTTCGCATATCCTAAGGATTGTTGAAGAGCTCAGCTGGAGATGAACTTCATCCTGATACTGTAGGTTGATTATTAACTGTGAAAATTACTCACAATATGTCAAGTTTCCAGAAACTTACGATGAAAATAGCGATACATCACACATTCAATTTAATGTACCCTGCCAAATCATTGCTTTTTTGGCAAAACTAAAGATTCTTTGCGTCAATTATCTACAAGAAAGTAATCACCCCATTCTTACATTGCATGAACATTATAAAATGATAATATCATCAAAATTAAAAATTAAATTAGGTTTGTTTCTCTAAAATTCAATTTTACAACAAATAAGCGGCGTTTGTGAGTTCGTGAAAAAAGTGGCGCTATAACAGCACATACTAGTAGTTTTTCGCATTATTTCTAGATTTTTGAGTTTCCGAAATTCCATTAAGTTCACCAAAAATTAGATCTGCGCTGTATTCTTAAGCGTCTTTTACTCTATCCCTAAAAAAATAAAGAAAAATTGAAACTATTTTTTTAAATTTATATAATTTGCATTAACTCCAAGAAGATATTACGCAAAAACTACTCATTTTTTAACAGATGTTAAAAATTGAATATTGCGACAATGTAGAAAGAAAGTTGTTTAGAACACATTTCATTTAAGAAAAAATCTCTATCATTAATATTATACTTGCACAATGGTAATTTTTTTAATTTTCAAAAATACCGTGTTCGCCAAATATGACACCAGCACCATTTTTTGCCGTTCTTTGCTGCCGTTTGAGAAAATATTCAATTCAAATGGTTTTTCTATGTAACGAACCCACAAAACATTGATTCTGGCTACACAACGTCATAAATGAAGGAATTTACTTCATAAAGGAAAACGATTTATTCACTTTTGCATTATCTGGGCCCGATAATGCGAGTTTTTCTGTGGCAATATCACCAACTGCAGCCCCAAGATTTCTTTACACATTCTCTTTACTATGTGCATAGTAAGGCGAGAAAGTAAAACTCATCTATGTAAAGCTACACTGAAAAAATGACTGACTCTCAACCACAAAGCCATGGTTACGTGTCTTTTAGTTACAACGATTGAAATATATTTTGTGACAACATTTATCTCTGTTGACGTCCCCAAGGTTGATTATCAATACTAGTCAGGTCTCGATGGTTGCAAAGTACATGGGGCCTAGAACCACAACTCTGCTAGCATTACTTCCGAAGTGCTTCCATTAACGCGCATCGGCCGACTGGGCGCGAGTCCTATTATGTCTAAAACTATATTCGAAGAGTTTATTGAACTAATTAGCGAGCAAGTCCACTCTACAATTTTGGATGAAATACGAGTTTCTCCATATTTTTGTTTACCCGTCGATTCAACACCTGATCTATCCCACGTTGATCGATTGTGCATCATAATAAGATATGTATCGCCATCAGATGGGTTGCCAGGAGAACGTATTTTAACTTTTTTGGAAGTGGAAAATCACGTTGGAAAACAAATTGGTAGTCAAGTTCTGAATTATATATCTGAATATTGTAACATTGTTTTTTCTGTGGAAGTGTGGAAGACAATCGTATGATAATGCGGCAATTATGTCCGGTGGATATAAAGGGATGCAAAGTGTTATTTTAGAAAAAACCTATATGTGATATACACTATCCCAAGTGCAGCACATTCTTTGAATCTTGTTGGTTGTAGCGCAGTCGATTGTTGTTTGGAAGCCATCAATTTTTTTTTTCATTATTGCAATAACTGCACACATTTTTTTCGACTTCAACACACAGATGGATGTACTTAAAACATGTTGGCAATGAGAATCTTTTAAAGAAACTTTGGGATTCGCGTTGGGAAGCGAGCGCTGTTGCCGCGGAAGCAATACTTGATTCACATTCTCAAATTCTTAACGCGTTAGATTTTATCTCCGACGATAATGATAAAAGGAAGAAACTAAGCGAGATGCAGCAAATATCGCTACACAAATGTAGAAATTTGAGTAAGTTTTTATGCTATCAGTTCGAAAACTGCCCGATGTTGATTATAAAGAAAACTCTATTCGAAGACATACTCGAAAACAGGTTCATGGTCAAGCAGAAGACGTAATGCACGAGACGAATTTTGGGTTTCAACCTTTTGTGTTCATTGACATTCTGCAAGCTCAGATGAAAAGTAGAGGCCAAGTTTATAAAACCCTTCCAGACACGTTTTCTTTCTTGTTAAACAAGGACTTCTCTACCGATATGTTATCATCTAACGTAGAAACACTTGTCGCATCGTAACCTGAGGATCTGGATTTGAAACTTGCCGGAGAATTGCAACAATTTCATCATTACATATTTTTGTAAATTAACCAGAATAAAACTATTCATGTTAATTATACTGCTTTCTATAAAATCGTTATAAATAATAAACTCCAGACAGTTTTCCCTAACTTAGAAATCTGCCTTAAAAGTTTTTAAACATTGATGATTACTAACTGTTCTGGAGAGCGATCCTTTTCACAGTTAAAGAGGATAAAAATTCCTCACGGACGACAATGCGACACGATATCGTTCAAATGAGTATGATGTTATGCGTCGCTGAAATTTTGATGATTTAATAAAAGAATTTGCTAGGCGAAAGAGTAGAAAGATGTTTTAAATGAGATATATTTTATATATCTACTCTACATACGTATAGTCAAGTGTAAACCAAAAGTAATAATGATTGCATATTTATTGACTGATAAACGAGATGCATAAATATTATATACATTTATTAGGTAAATTATATTGCAATTTGTCATAAATTTATAAATAAAACAATAAAATTCCTATTTACATAGTTTTTAATTAATTAATAATTGGAGTTTAATGTATAGATTGGGATTTAAAAAAATTGATGAATGGGGTCCTAAAATGTTTTACTAGAAAGTAAAATGTTTTACTTGAAAAGGTAGGGATGTGGGCTTTACGAAAATGTAGCTGTTACGTTAATGGCTCGTGCGGTAAAGCCTTTCTGATGCGCGCATTAAGGGATTTAGTTTTGTGCTTGTAGAATTGGAAATTTGAGAAAGCTTGAGAAAGGTTGTATTTTGGGGTTTCAAGAAAGAGTACATTGTTTGGATTCCTAGATTTCACGTAATTGGAAAATGGCGCACAAAGGAGACAATAGTAATTTTCTAAGTACCTTGTTTTGGCAAGTTTGAAGAATGTTGATGTCAGTTGGAGATCCTTCAGATACAAAATCCATTTCCACCCTGAGCGTCAGGGCTTTTTCTCGGGGCGAATGTTGTCTCAGCGGCGAAAAGGTAAACGCCGTGCGGGTGCGGGGATGGGGAGGGTCGTGGGGGGGGGGGCGCGAAGCCGCTGCCTGCCACTCGTGCAGATAGCAAGACGGACGATGCGTGGGCGGGCGTGGCTTTGCCTGTATATCAGTGTTAAGTTCATTTCGACGTCTTCTCCCATACGTCTTTATCTGAGCTGGGGCATGTATCTCAATTTGGAGCTATCGCTTGCGTGTCCGGGGCAGCCCGACTTTCAGAATCAGATCTTGCTCCTTCCCTCCTCGCACCTTCTCCCACTTGGGGCTCGGCCGCAAGTCGGCGCTCCATGCCCGTTCCTCAGCCGGCGCAACCGCGCGCTCCTGACGTGCGTCGCTTGCGCTAGCACTGTGCACACACGCGCTATTCAAAAAGATACATTTGCCAGAGTCGATTCCGTTGGGTTTTTAACGATATTTGTCAGGTTACTAAGAAACTAGTTCTTATACGACTTGATTTAAAAAAGTTGGTTTAGTCAATATTGCTCTTGGTGCATAAAAAAATTTACTGATGTTATTAAATGATAGATTTTACTGCTTCATGATTTCATCCAGTATAATTTCATGGATTTTTATAACTTCTTATGTTCCACATTCATGCCGTGCTGCCGAGTTCTCAATTTTTAACTGGAAAGTACGGTTCTTTTTCCTGAAATTTACTATTAATATTTAAGTATTGACTATAATAACCATAATAACAACAAAATTACCGTTTCGTTTAGGTGGTCAAAGATAGTGGTTAGGCCATCAAATAAAGCAACCAAGAATATCTAAGAGAATATTTTGACAAGGAAGCAGACCCATCTCAGCACCATCTCTCCACACCGCTGAAGTTAAATCAACAGTACGACGTAAATAAATACAAGAAACCTTAAAACTAGATGCGTTAATATGCCTGTACGGAAAACATCGGTTTACAATTACACAAGATCATGCTGACGTGAAGGCGTGGGCCTACCGACTAGAGCAGCTTAGATGTTACCAGAAACTGAAGGCACTGAGTAGAGTATACAAGAACAAGTGATACACACTAGAAGTTATCTTAAAGAAACAGTGAGAGATCATACGATACAAAATACCAGAAGTCGATATGGAACATCGAAATCACTGCAGTAATTCCTGTCTGAAAGTCTAAAAGGTTTAAGGATTTGGATGTTGTTAATATTTGCAAAGGTATGAGGAATGCTATGAAGAATGCATCTACTACAATAATACGTTTACGGGGGGTGGAGTATCTATGGTAGAATTGCGCTGATAATGATAATAATAATAATAATAATAATAACAATAATAATAATACACCCGGATATTATATTGCGTATCTCACTCAAGAAAATTTCAATATGTTTGAATTTTGCCAAAACATTATCTTAACGTCGGGTGACAAATCCATGGACTCTTTAAAATAAATGAAGAATCGATTCCACCCTGCTCATCTGTACTTTCACATCTCACCTCAATTTCTCTCACGACCGCTCACCGACTGCGGAGGCACCATCTGGAGGCTCGATCACTGGTGCTTTTGGGACTCGATTTCCTCCTAAGAGAATCGGAACTCAGTGTTTCTCTACGCGTGTTCCGTAATTCCGACGTACATGCACAAGGAAAATATCCTCTTAATTTATTCGGTTCGCGCGCATTTAAACTTGTGTGCGTGCTTGCTTCGGAAGGAACGCTTCCCTTTAAAGCAATTTATTCAAAAATATACCTGTGCATGGCACGGCGTTGATTTAAATGCAAATAGAAACTTTAATTTTCAGAAAATATAGAAGCAACTTATGGCAAATAATGTTTGCTCTTTATTTTTTGCTTCGTAAACTTGGACGAAGCTGCGACGACAACTTCAGAGTTTTCGGTGGCGACACTGTTTTGACAAATGCCACAAGTGTACTGGCAAGAAACGAACAGAACATGCGATAAAACTAGTAGTGCTAAAATAGCATGTACTTTCTCCCCCCCCCCATTTTCACGGACTCAAATTTTCGAAAAAAAGTACATTACCTTATTTCAAAATATATCTTTAACAAACAGATTCAACCTAATTTTAATGATTCAGATTGATTTATTTACTAATTACTAGATATTATCTTGACTCAATTTGTTCTTTCATTTTTCCGTCCCATAATGCTCTCCATAAAAGCATGTTTGCATACTTCCTTCATAACCACAATCCTCTCGACCCAGGTAAGTTATTCGAGTGCAATTGAGCTCCGCATCGAAGGCAATAACAAACAATAGCGTACAATAAAAAAATAAATATTATTTTCCCTTTCTGAGTTGGCAGTGAGAGTTTGTGAAAGACCACCTCTATAAACGACCACCTATCGCAACAACCACCAACCAGGCTCTTAATTGCAATTTTTTATTTATCATTTTAAAGAGATTACTTCCAGGAAAATAAGTATACATTACACCAAATTTTCTTGAGTTTAAATGAAATTTGGCGACATTATAAAAATAATTCTTGCGAAATGTCCTGTACCTTAACTTCTTCCCCATACCCCCATACGTTACATACGGTTTTTTACTATTTTTTGTCTAAATAAAACTAAATCTAAATCTAACTTTATTCTCGAGGAAATCGAAGGGCATGCGGATTGAGGAACCAAGTAACAATAAACCATGGCCCCGGATTCGGGAACAAGACTGTTCGATTCATTTCAGTTTCATTTCGTTTAATAAAAGTGACGGATATGGAAGTCGCCTAACGTTTAATTCTTTGAATTAACAGAGCCTTCCTTACCTTACCTTCGTGGAAGAGCATCTGGTGCGATAGAATATAAGTTGGAAGTCAAGGTTATCGATTTACCCCGTAACACGTGGGAGTTTGGGCTGCGTCCGTAATCTGAGCCCAGCGCTCACTCAAGACCCATGGTTTGAAGTTTCTTTTAAATTTTATATTATTAATTGTCCTAAGAAGTGCGAGGTTTTGAGCTCCTGAGGCAAATGTTTCATACATACTGAAATGACGTTTTGAGTCTGCATAAGAAAATGGAGGATCGTTACCGATAGACAACTAAAACTGAAAATAATTTAAACGTTTATTTTTACCCAATAGAAATCGATATATTGTAAATGCTATTAAATGACAGTAAATAATTCTTTAAACAAGGCGTAAATAAAGCTTAGTTTCTATAATAAAATAACTTAAATGGATTTTGGATGTTATTTATTTTTATTAATATTCTGGCTTTATTTCATTATCGTATGGGAATATTGCGGAGAGACTACTCTTAGGCAGTTGTTCCGGATTTTGACCCTGGCGTGCTTGGAAGCCTACCCCCGACGCGGGTCTGGAGACCTTTATCGAGCAGACGCACCTCGTAGGCACTCCCCTAATTGCGACTGGGATATGACTCTCCGCCATATGTCGGTTTTGCTTAACTATATCCAATCTGTGTGGTTGGGAGAAAGTAAAATATTGTGGCAGAGGATACAGTTGCTTTATACACGCGGAATTTCATTCAATAGAAACTTGTGTTTATTTGAAATATTTACGGTTGGTGGGTAATAAGTACGGTATTATGATTGTAGATTATTAATAATTTTCATTAAAGAAATAGAACTGAAGCGTTGTTTTGTCGTAGTTGTTTATTTTGGTAGAAAGCTTTTTCGGTCGCATTGCGGCCATCTGCAGTGCTACAAAAATAATAACAATATATCTAAGTTACAAAAACATTTTAATCTATTAAATAATATTATAATTAATTTAATGAACATTTTTAAGCAAAATAGAAAAAAATTGGAATATAAAATGTGAAAATAGAAATATAATGTTGAAAAAAGAAAACATGAACTAAGAAATGAACAAAATAAGATAATTGTTGAAGAAACTGTAAAGTGACATTACTGTTAAAATAAAGTTTCTTATTTTAATAGCATTTTTTTGTAATTTTTGATACATTGTTGTTGAGGCGGCGAAATACTCGAAGAAAAAGTTGGCTATTTGTAGAAACTGCTACGAAACATCACCTCTTCTATCAGGAGTTTTTGTCAGACAAGAGTGTTCTGGAAAAGAGACGACACACAATTGACAAAGATTGTTACTTGGAGAAAGAATTAACGAGTATTGAAGAAATTGTTACAGTCACCTCTGTCTAAAAGAAATGAAACCTTTCTTTACGAATTTCGTCGTTTTTACTTCATGTTTCAACTGCATCCAGTGCCTGACACACCCTGAATCGAACCTTCAAGGCGTGTAAAACATTTTTACTAAGCTTCCTGCATTAGCTTGTGATGGCAATGCGATCTCGTGGCGTCATTGCGGTGGATTCTTCGAACCTTGAAAATGGTCTACATGGTTTGGATCGCAACGATGAGATGCCCAGGAGCTGATGCGATCTTTCGGTGACGCTCCGAACTAACTGGAAGCCGCTGACAATCTACGTCAAGGAACTGTGTACGAAATAAATGAGTATTTGGTCAACGGAGAAGAACGTCGCGCGGCTTTCTGAGAAAAATTAAGATTATATCCGAAGCGGCAAGTTTGATATGTATGGTCCTTGCCTCTGCGCCTTCAAAGAACAACAAGAATGCCCTATTAAAATACAAGGCGCCAAATTTGAAGCAATTTGGCGGTCAATGCCGGCAATTGTGTTTTGTAGCACTGTATATGGCTACAATGCGACCGAAAAAGCATTCTGCAAAAATAAACACCTACGATAAAATAACGCCTCAAAACTGAAGTATACGACATTGGCATCATTAAAGAAATTAATAATGATGCCAATGTCGTATACTCCACATTATTTACTAACATAATTTTCATTGTTACTTCTTTCATTTTATTCGTTCTTGAAAATGTTATTTTGACATTTAATTTGCTCGTGACAAAATCTCCATCATCATCATCATCATTACACTGTCCCGCAACATTGTTAAGGAGCGTAGTAGTACGTCAACGCCGACTCTAAGGGTTGAGATTCACGTAGGTCTGGAAACTGAAGCTAAAAAACGAAATTACGATTTCTCCCCGAAACACACATGCGATTTAGAAAATTCACACTATTCGAACTTGTCTACGACTGTTTAAATGCCAGCCAAGAGGAATATTGCCAAAATCTAGTGAATAGCGGCGTGAAATTTCCTAATCATCTGCTTGACGAGAACAGCGAGAGAGCGCTCGCGTTCTTTCTTTATAAGTCCGGAGCCACAGGCGCGAAGCAAGATAAAAGGATGCGCAACAACGGCTACTACCGGGAATTCGCCCTTCCCGACCACCACAGCACACCATTTAAAGAACGAGTTCGGGGTAATAGGCCAGGCAATCTTTTGTCTTGGCGTTTAGGAGTA